AAAGAAAGCAACGTGAAAACCATTCAATGCTATGGAAACATAAGGTCTTACTGTTATGAAAAATTAAAAATGATGTACTCCCCAAACTGCCAGGGAGATGGGGATGGAGGAAAACCAAGGAACAAACTGAGTAAAAGAAACTAAAAAACTGTTCTTCGGGCCATCAGTCATTATAAGATCCTTGAGCTAAATTTATAAGTCTGTTTGCTAGAAGAGATATTAGTCATTTTCAAAACCACAAGTCTTTCCATTTTGGTTTTATTAGCTATATGGTAATTGATGAGAATAAAAGATAGATTTAATTGAATAGCAATAACCATATCTACTATAGAAGATATTTTATGTCATTGATAGTCCATTTATTTTCTAAAAGGATTTGCCAATTTATAATAATAACACAAATGTGGATAAGCTTGATGAAAGAGTAATAAAATAGAAATATGGAAAAGAAACTTGAAATAATAAAGGAAGGCAGACATATACCTTACTATTATGAGATTTTATTCTAAGTTCTCAGGCAATGTTCAGATAGCACCAGACTAAAAGTATGATATCTTGTTTCTCATCCCTACCATGTGGTTTACACATTAAGTATTATTCTTATTTTATTATTTAATCTATTATTCTGCCTGCTACATTTGTCCATGAGTAAGTTATCCAGTTCTCTTTAAACTTAATGCTCTCAGACTTCCCCTGGGAGATGCTTCCAAAACATGTTCCATTTTAACGCCAATAGAAAATTATTTCAGGGGAGACTGGTTTGCTTTTTTTTTAAAAAAAAAAAAAACAGGTATATGCAACCCACATTGTATTTCAGTACTTAAACCATTTTATCTATAATTAGTTGATGAGGAAAATAATAAATGAATTCCAGGTAGTCTGTTGTATTTTCTAATTAAACTCTCCTTATTTTTCACACATGCACATACACACACATATATACATTTGTATGTATAGATACATATGCATATGTAGATATATTATTTTTATATCTAAGATGAATCTTAAACAAGATCATAATTCTTTTCCTGTTGGCAATCTCCCAAAACAGTAATACGCTATTTGGTTATGGGACTGGGAATAGAAATAATGCCACAAAGGCAAGGTCACAGGGCTTATAAGTCAAAACAACAATACCAATAACAATAATTATCCAAGTGATCTTAGATAAGGAAAAGTTGAACTGCCATCAGCAATTATATTCTAGTGAAATAAGCAGTAAAATGCACCCAAACTTTAAGAATCCTGGAGAAATATGAACTAGAAAAATTTCTATCCTTCATTGATTCTCTTGGAGAAATCATAGATCATCTCCTTAATCACCTTATTGTCTGAGTACATTAAACTGCTCATAAGGACTCCTTTATGACTGCATTGAAGCCTATTTGACCCTTTTGAATCCTGCCAACCTACTCCCCCCAACACACACACACACACACACAGAAAACACAAATCCTAACATACCTATTTGTACCCTTAGATCTAGCTCTGCCATTATCACCATCAGTCCCACCACAGTAAGTAGCTTATTGTTATGAAAACAATAAGCCAAATTCATTATTTGTGGGTTGTGAGTTTTAAAAACATCATACTCGTTGACTATTTGAAGTTGAGGTGTATCTACTTAAACTCTGTGAGTGGTGACTGTGTGGAGATTTCATTTCTTAAATACTGTGTTGGCTGGAGCTCAGCAAAGCAAGCTTAGCTGCTTGCAAACTTGCAAATCCTGTGTGTTAAATGGCCAGTATGATACAATTGAATTTTTTTCTTCAGTGGAATTGATCAGTTTTTTGCTAGCAAAGAAGAAATTTACATGGTTCTGATTATTAATATAAGAGATATGATCTTAATACCAGCATACTGAACTCAATGAGAAACCAGCAATCAGAAAAGATAGGCTCAGGAGAGAAAGCATGTGGGGTTTGATGACATGGCTCAGAAATGAAGTAAATGAGGGTCCTTGTAGTTCCTAGGATGTTCCCAGAAAGTTGATTTATAATCTACATTTAAAATAACAAAATTAACTTTTTTATATGAAAATATAAAGAAAAAAAAATTCCATGTTCCCTTTGGGACTCTAGGCATTTTATATTAAAATTAACAGAAAATGTGGAGTTACCTCTAAAAACCATGTAAGATGGCAAAGCATGGAAAGTAAAGAGAAAAAAATGACATTGTCAGAGTAGAAAATTATAATCATTAATGAACTTCTTCTAAAGCACCATAGCATTGGCTTATGGGAACATTTTGGGTCTTTACTTACTCTTGCCAGCAAATTCTTTACCAGTAACATATATTTTAATATTTTTCTTCTGTATAGAAGAATAAGCAATATATTAGGCACTTTATGTCTTTTATGCCCTTTTCACCCAAAGAGTTAGAATTACTTAACATAGTAACATTGTAAATTTACAACAACAGAAGCAATAAAAATAATTTTAAAAGTGGATTTTTGTATCTATTTATTCCATCTTGTCACAGTAAGATTTTGTTCTTTGTTTAATTAAAGCTACTGTGACCTTCTAACTACTGTATGTAAGAAGTTATATTTTTTCTTATAAAATATTCTTCCCTTTTGTATTGGAGCACTGAAAATTACTGGACAGGGCAGTGGGTGAGAGAGCTAGAAGTAGAGGGGAGAGTTTATAAAATTATTTGTATGGTGAGATGGCCAGACAGGCATTTGAAAACATACCAGATTTGGGGCTGTGGCTTTATTTATATTTTGCTTTGGTATTATGAGAAGATGTAAAAAGATCTCAGGACAAACAAGTTTGCCCTATTGGTAGAGTGTAATAGTATAGTTTATGGTGCAATGAATGACATTGGTATGTAGTGAAAAAGGCTTTGGGAGGTGGTGACACTTATTTCAGATATTTGAGCCTCTGTTTCCAAATCTTTAAAATAGTGTCAACAAATAAAATATCCCATATGCATTGCAAAGATTCAGCTAATGAGTTTAAAAATACTTTGCAAACTATAAATCAACATGCATATGCTGCAACCAACTTTTGACTTGTTATTTTTGTAGTGACAAAATTATTTCCTGATAGATATGAATTTGTCTCTGTAAAGAATCCATTATATATTTAGGATAGGATGGTGTAAGATTTTATAACTTGCTACAAAATGTCCCACACAGGCTGGTTCGCATTTTTTGGTGATTCTATACATTAATCACTGAATAACCTTCAGATTTCCAAATAAAGAATAAAGGGAGTGGTGATGACATTTGTAATCATCTATGGAGGAATTATTTAAATTCTTCACAGATGGAGAGATATCAAGGGTAAATCATTAGATCTACATTTCCAATTTTAAGAAGCTTTGAGGGTGTTTGTGGATAGTGAGAAGTAAACATTGTTTTGCACATAGAATTAATCATAAACTTTGCATCCCACAATCCCAAATTCTCCTAATAAGTGTAGAGGACTTTCCAGAGGGCTTCCCCTAAGGATTGAGAAATTCATAAAAGAAAAATAATGTTATGCTACATGCAATATACAAACTGAGCAAATTGGAGCAACCATCATAGTGACCTTTCAAAGAGCACAAATTAGATTCTATATGCCACAGAATTTAATGTGGCTCAGTGCTTTAGAAAGGATGACATATGACATATACTCCTAATTCTAGCCTTCCAGGAGTTTACTTTATTATTTCTAAGCAAGATGAATAACTCATTTCTTCTTCGTTCAACATAATTCCACCCAATATTCTCTGTAAACTAGCTCTGAGAATACATGTGGACCAGTGCTTGAGACTTTTAGTCAATGCTAAGGATATCTGAATGGCTGTCCAATGTTGATTTTAAATAGTTTCAAGGGCTGGAATATGTTCACTGGAAAACACACAAGAAAATCTGATGCCAAATGTTCTCTGAATTTTGAGAGGAATAACATATGGAAGCATTCGCTATGAGTAGCATGCATAAAACCATAGAGGCTGCAATGGTGTCGTTTATTCTAGCTACCGAATCTACGTGATTTTCCCCAATTCAGATCTAAAAACTTGTTTCCTAAAATATACTGCTTAAAATTCCTGCAATGCAAAATAAAATATTTTCTTTATTTTTCTTCCTCTTTGCTTTTTAAGTGGTTTTAAATTAACATATTTGTAGTAACCCTGAGTTCATACTGATAATAGAAAAAGCACAAATAAATAGTAGGTATACTGATAAACTCACTAGTCATAACTGACGATACCATTTGTCACGTTTCAGGCTCAAAATTCATTATCCTGGGGTTTATTTCTATATCTCCCTATATCTTCTTCTTTCTGAGATTTAGTTTGGAAAAGAAAATGGAAACTGTTATTTAATGCCAGATAAATACCACCACTAGGGAAAGGGGAAAAAAAAAGCTCATTTTTAAAAGACTTCTGGGAATAATTTTTGTCACCATATTTATAGCAACACAATAGTAAAATAGGCAAATGCTTTTAGTTACATAAGTTGGTTTTCTCAGGCCACTGTTCTCTTTTCCATAGGGATGGGAGGAGGTACAGGCATGAGAGAAACGATGTCTTTGGACTTCCCTGTTACCGTCAATTTGTGGCGCAACCCTGACACTGCTCCTGGCTCCAGTGAGCAGAATGTTCTGATAGCTGAGAGGTGGAGAACTAGTCTTCTATCTTGTGCCTGTCCTAGCTGAGATGGTAAATTAATCCTGCTGTTAAGGACGACCAAAAAGTAGTTTGTCACAACGTACCAAAGCTCTCAAACACAGCATGCTGTTTGCCCTCCACCATTACAGCAGGAACAGAAGAAGAACAACTCTCACTAATATTTATTTTGTCCTTCATTCATTTTGCCTGAGTCTTTGATAAGGTGTGATAGTTGCCTTCTGAGGTTATGGATGCCATCCCTCTCAGTAACCAACTACTGTCACATGGGGGACATTTGCTCTCTGCAGCTGTTCTGTACAGTCTCAACAGTGTGCCTGCAGCTGGCTGTATATGATACAGTGCCCTGATGCCTCCCTCTCTCCTTGCTTTTGCAGCTGGCGCTACGTACATCTTTGGGAAAAGCGGTGGCCTCATCCTCTACACCTGGCCAGCCAATGACAGGCCCAGCACACGCTCCGACCGCCTTGCTGTGGGCTTCAGCACCACTGTGAAGGATGGGATCTTGGTACGCATTGACAGCGCTCCAGGACTTGGCGACTTCCTCCAGCTTCACATAGTGAGTACCGGGCCTTGGCCCGGATTCTCTTGTCTTCCTGGTGGTCTGAGTTGGTGAGTCAGATAAATGCGGCAGAATGTTCTAGATAGGCATGACAAGGGTGCACATGCTTATAAAAATTGCTTTCAGATGTGAACCATCATGTTCACAGAGTGCCTTGCAGGGAGAGAGGGGGTATTAAAAACTCTGTCTTCTGCCCCATGTATGTAAAGAGAAAAAGAAATTCTGTCCTTCCAGACTCCCTTCCCAACTCTGCGGCTTGGCCGATAGCAAAACATTTAGCAGACTGCTTGGGTGTGAATTACCTGATGTGGATCCTACCTGGCATAAGGAGTAAAATCAAGCAGAATGTAAAGGTCTCCTAGGCTGGTATTTGGCAAACTTTCTGTAAAGGGACAAATAGTAAATATTTTGGGCTTTGTAGGTCATATAGTCTCTGTCAGAGATACTCATTTCTGCTTTTGTAATGGGAAAGTACACAGAGACAATATATATTTTTAAATGCATGTGACTGTATTCCAATAAAAATTTAGTTACAAAAATAGGCTGCAGGATGCACTTTGGTGACCCTGTCCTAGGCTACAAACATCACTGTAGAGATGTAAAGAACATATGATAAAAACTGAGACCAGAGCATCAAATTGGGTGGGGCAAAAGGGAAACAACACAATGAGCAAGAGTTGAGTAATTCATCCATATTGTGCATTCAACATTTTGCTTTAGGCCTTGTACACATGAGCCCAATAGGAACTGTACCCCTAGTCCCCTTAGATCATAAGAACACAGTGCAAGTCTAAGAAATTAAAATGATTTGGAAGAAAAAATTACTTCGTTATGAGGATAGAAAATATTTTTATAGCAACAATTAGCCCATTTTATCACCTGTGCAGTCTGCAGTTAAGAAAGTAGGCTAAAGAAAGATATGATTCTCATCCATTAGTACCCAAAGTGCAGCCACCAAGAGCAAAGAGAGGAATTGTTCTCATTAGTTAGCAATGACAAGGCTAGAAAGAATGGATTTAATTTGGAGCAATAAGAATTCGGTTAAAATAGCAGGGGGAAAAAGCAGTTAAGGAAAAGATCAACTGGGGATTACTGCTACCAGCCTCCTAAAAAAGGAGGAAAAGGAGCATTGACTGGGAATCTTTGAATCTGAGTGTTGCTAATGTGCAGGTCTATAGAGAGAAGCAGAGGGTACAATTTCATTGCTGGTCTCTGGAGTTGGAGGAGGCTGGCGGGAGTCGCAAGCAGCAAGCTGGGCTTCCGCAGCCGTGCCTGCCTCCAGCACCTGCTAGGCCAGCGTGCCTTGGAAATGGAGCAGCTTAAGGACCAGGCCTGCACTGGAAGCTTCTCTGGCTCCAGTATGAGCCAAATCAGGGCAAGCCTCTACTTAGGATCCCAGAGAAGGACTGATTAAAAATGCTTATCTTCAAAATGTAGAACAGAGGTCTTAAACAGAGTTCTGAACTTTCAATTTTTCCTGAGATGCTTCAAGAACCATCTGGTGCGATGAGTCTGAGCTAAAACATTTTAAAAAGCAATGCCAAGGAGCAAAGAGAAAAAGGCAGCCATAGTTAGTACACTTTGTCTTTATTTGGCCTCTAAGAACCACCATAATTTACAAAACTCTGTGAGATTTATGCTGCGTATAACTTAATGACTATTTCATGGCAGCTATAAGTAGGCTATTATTACCAGCTCACTTGAATTTGCACAGTGCTTTATCTTCTTTTTTTGTTCAGTGTGACTTGCTAAGAAAAATATGATTTGGCACAGCCATGAGCATCGTTTTGAGTGAGATAATGTGTTACTAGTTTATCCATTCCTCTCTCCACTTGTGATTTGTAGAGAATCTCTACTTTTAAGAAAGAACTCTACTTATTTTCTATTTACTTGAAATTGGAAGTGCTTTTATAACATTAATATGCAGGTACTGGGAATTTCTAGGAGGAACCAGAACATTCCAGTATATTATGGTATTATAAAGTTCTGTCATTTCTTTGGTGTCTTTGAAAAGAGAATGTCTCTAAACATACTTTGGGGTTCAAGTAATGTGTATTTGCTTGTATTCATTAGTGTGCATACTCTGTATAACCATGCACATTAAATTTGACATAGTATTAAATTTATTTCTTTATATAAGCAAAAATATCGAAAATTTTGTATCATAATATAAGTATAAAATATAGAGCCTCATTGGGGTCTGTAGATCTATTCCAGTGATGCTGCCAATTGCTTAAACATTCTGTGAAATCCCAATAGATTTTTCTTTAAAACTTGGGTTAGGAAATGATATCACCTGATCTTTTCAGAAAAAAGGGGCCCAATAACGTGGAAAATCCACATGATTCTATAGTGAAACTGACATGTTCATGGTCCTCTTGAGCATAGAATCCCTCTTTGTTATAGTCATTTGAAATGATTTTTCCTTCCTAGTGGATTATTTCTTTGTCTACACGTAAGAGAGCAGGCTCCGTACTACACTCGGAATAAAGGAATCCAAGGAGAAGACTGAAAGGCTTAATTACAAAACTAGCCTCATGTTTTGGACATTTAAGTAGGTGGATCAGGAAGCCATACATACCTATTAAAATACTTTGTAAGACTCTTATAACCTGTAAAAGGTGTTTTTGTTTGTTGCACGGTTTGTTTTCTTGTATTAAAGAAAATTATTCAAAAAGAAAAGAGCTCAGGGGCAATTAGTGAAAGTGGAAGGGATTGAGCAGGAGGCAAAAGATTTCATTTCCACCTTGCAGTTTGCCTAGGAGAAGAGAAACCCACTGGGGAAAAAAAGAAAAGTGATGGCAGACATGAAAAGGCAATGGCTTACTCTGTTTTGCGTTGCTAGAACAGAATACTTGAGAGTGGGTAATTCATAAAGAACAGAAATGTATTTGTCACAGTTCTGGAGGCTGGAAAGTCAGACATCAAGGCATGGGCAGGTTTGGTGTCTGGTGAGGGCCCTGTCTCTACTGCTCAGAAGAGTGCTGCGTCTTTGGGAGGGGAGAAACGCCACGTCTTCACATCGCAGAAGGGCAGAAGGGAGCAAACCCAATCCTCCAAGCCCTTTTTAGGATGTCATTAATCCACTCGTTAGGGCAGAGTCCTCAAGACCTAAACGCCTCCCCAAAGGCCCAACACTTTTGCATTGGGGATTAAATTTCCAGCACATGAATTTTAGGAGACACATTCAGACCATAGCAGTGGAATACATTCCAGGACAGGGATGTGACTACAGATTTGCTTCAGGAAGGGGTTACATGGGGGTAATCAAGCTAGTAAAGCTGGTCAGAAACAAAGTGTAAAGTCAAAATTAGCCAGTGTGCGGTGGAGGCGGGGTGTAGGAGCAGGGACAAAGAGAGAATGTTTGGTGCTGAATGTAAACCCTCAAATTCTTGAAGTGCTTTGAGCACCATCAACACTGTCATTGGAATAAGTCTTTTTTAGCCCCAAGTTAGCTTATTTGAGGGAAGGAAAAATATGCTCTTCCAAGAACGCCAAGGAGTCAGAGCCTGAGGGGAGTGCCATCTCTAGAATAGTCCCCAGAGCAGGAGGGGCAAGCAGGCTGCATCTTGCCTGCCAGCTCTCAGTGCCTCTCACTTCCAGGTTTACACTGGAAACGTCTGAGAGGGCAGTGGGCACACCCAGTATGTAGGAGATATGGCTTCCCTCAGTCACGTCTGCCACATGTGCAGAAGTGGGATTCTGTGGAACTACACTGCACATTTATCCCACTGCTCTTAGCTTCATGCTATCCCTCCTCAGATGCTTAAACTTTCCCATTTGTGTTCCTGTGTCATCCTGAAATCCCCACACCTTAAAACCTCCTTAGGAAACAGATATCTTCTTAAACTCATACTCTGCTGCAAGTCCTTGAATCGATTACTAATTAATTTAAAGTAGTCAGTGTTATTGTGGTCCTTCTTACACCAGGTTAAGGTCAGCTCTTGTGACAGAATTTGCGTTTTGATTAGAGAGTTGGAGAGAAAGAGGGTAAGTGGGTATGGTTCTTCTGTGTGGGATGGCAGGGATGGGTAGAGAAAGCTTGGACAAAAGGAAGACATCTGTGCCATAGAGTGGATAATTGAGGTAAGGAAAGTAAGGGGCACCAAGACAGAGCTGAGTAGATATTGAGCGTGTTGCTTGTTTATTTCACAATATGCTTAGACTATCTGCTGTTTTGATCAAGAAAGTGGAGGCTCTTCTTTCTTTTGCTGCTTTCTTTTAAACCTAAAGTCTTCCTACTCATCTTGGCCCCATGAGGTTTAAATAGGTTTTGACAATTAGTGAATTATTAAAAAAAAAAATAACCAGTCAAGAGATTAAAATAATTCAGGAATTGTTTGTCCAAACTTAGCTAACATTTCTTGAGTTTTGGTTCACACTTCCATGAGGCAGTATTTTCTGTGTCAGTTATCACTTGGGTGAATGTGTTCGAAAAAGACAAAGAAACTTTGTTGAAGTATCTCTTCATGAAATGAGATTCTGTGAAGGGAGGATGCCTTATGGTAGAAGGATTTTTAAAAATTATTATTTCAACTATAAGTTTCCGTCCATTGAAATCTATTGTTGAGGACTTAATCTGCTCAGTACTTAGTAGGAAGCTGCTGTCACTGGCAAGTGCCATCTGCCTATTGACCCCATAGCTAGGCTTTCTGGAACTGTGTCATGTTACACTCACCTATGTTTATACAATAGGGAAAAAATTGAATAGGGCTAGAGAAAGGATTAGTATGAAATCCTTCTTATTGCTATCATGAAACTCTTGACAATCTCCTTTCACCACCCACAAAATAGAAGGTCAAGGAAAACTGGGCAACAATTAGCTTCTCTATTTATATAGTAAATGCTAGGTGGAAAAAAAGACATCCTATTAATTTCCTTCTCCATGTGTGTAATTTACAATAAATCCTCTCGGATTCATTTTTTAATTATGAGCCTTTCAAGAACAGTGAAAATTTATGTGTCAAGGCATCTGTTTTGTTTGACAAGAATCTATA